CAGCAGCAGCAGCAGCAGCAGCAGCAGCAGCAGCAGCAGCAGCAGCAGCAGCAGCAGCAGCAATACCTGTTCAACATTGATAGTGGCTGCTTGTTTAGACCCATCAAACCTCATCACCAAATTTGCCGTCCTAAACAAACAAACAAATAAAATAAACAAAAATAAATAAAATAAACAAAAATAAATAAAATAAAAATAAATAAAATAAACAAAAATAAATAAAATAAACAAACACAAATATAAACACATAAAAATAAATAAATAAATAGGGGGGGGGAGGGGGGGGGATCTTTATAGAGAAGGGAGAAGAGAGGGGGCCCCCCTTTATAGAGAAGGGAGAAGGGGGGCCCCCCTTTATAGAGAAGTGAGGGGGCCCCCCTTTATAGAGAAGTGAGGGGGGCCCCCTTTATAGAGAAGGGAGAAGAGAGGGGCCCCCTCTATAGAGAAGGAGAAGGGGGGCCCCCTTTATAGAGAAAGGAGAAGGGGGCCCCCCTTTATAGAGAAGGGAGAAGGGGGGGGGCCCCCTGCGTACCCTCTGCTGTTGGGTATGGGTAGGGCCTCGGTGGCTGTGAGGGTCACCCCTTGACGCTCCTCTGTCCCCCCAGACTGGACAACTAAAAAAATAAAACAAATAAAATAAAATAAATAAATAAAATAAATAAAATAAATTAATTAATTAATTAGTTAAAATAAATTAAAATAAATAAAAGGGAGAAGGAGAGAGAGAAAGAGAGAGAAAAGGAGAAAGGGGGGGAGAGAGAAGAGAGAGAGAAATATAAGGAAAGAGAAGATAAAACAACAGCATAAAAAAAAAATATAAAACAAAATACAGTGCTTCTTCTGCTGCTGCTGTTACTGCTGCTGTTGCTGCTGTTACTCCTGCTGCTGCTGCTGCTGCTGCTGCTGTTACTCCTGCTGCTGCTGCTGCTGCTGCTGCTGCTGCTGTTACTGCTGTTGCTGCATGTTGGTATTACTACAATCACTACTTCTATTTCTCCTGCTTCTGCTGCTGCTGTTACTGCTGTTGATGCATCTGCTCATGCTGCCCCTGCTGCTGCCCCTGCAGCAGCAGCAGCAGCAGCAGCAGCAGCAGCAGCAGCAGCAAGCTCTTACCGTCGATGTTCCAGGTGTAGTCCTCCGGGAATTCGATTGACTCAACATTCTCCAGTTCGGCTTTCATGCGGAGGAGAAGACGAACCATTTTGTTTTTTTTATTTATAAAAAAATAAAAAATATAAATATAAATATAAATATAAATATAAATAAAGAGAAAGAAAAAGAAAGAGAGTAAGATAAGGAAGGTAAAAATACTGAGAGATAGAGAAGCAGATGTATATGCTCTGCCTTTTGGTGGTGGTGGTGTTGTGATGGTTGTTCTTCTTTGTGTA